GACCCCAAATAGGTCCCAGGCGCCTCGGAACATTGTTGCTGGGCTCCAGCCCCCAGCCCTGTGCTAGGCAGGGTGTCGGGGCCCTGCTGCCTGGGCTGCCCCACCTGAAGGCGTAGGTGGGGCAAGTAGAGCCTCTGGATTTCAGCCTCCCAGAGTTCTGGGCCTCCCTCTGGGGTAGAGTGAGGGGACCAAGGTGTGCCTGAGGCGAGCAGCCAGGAAGGAGGCTGACTTGCAACCTTTTGTGGCCTAGCACCGCCCCCACCCACAAGCTTTAAGGTTCCTGGGTCTGGGATTTTTCTAGGCCTACACCTTCCGGATTTTTCAGGCAAGCCCAAAATGGAGTCTTGGGGCAAAGACACCATTTATCCAGAAACCTGTGAAACGCTCACAACACAAGCACTAGCACTTTGGAAGGCAGAGCCGAATCTTTGCCGCTCCTGTGCAGAAAACTGCCAGAGTGCGAGACAAAGCCAGTCTGGGTGAATGAAATCCATGGATAGATCTCTAGAGAGACCCCAAATTTGAAGCAGGTTCTGAAAAACTGTTCAGATCTTTTCAACAAATGAAGGTTGAAACTTCAGGATTATCAAAAAGCGGAGGTTGAAAGGCTTGCAACCAAAAGAGTTGAACTTTGGAAAGCTCATTGGAACCATTGTAAAAACGAAATGGGATGACCGCAAAGCAACATTAGCAGTGAGGAATGGAGAAGCTAGGCGGACAAGTCAGCAAACGATGGACGTGTTTCCTGTTTCAGAGAGTTACAGTGGATGCTATCCAAACAACTCTCACCTGGAGAAACTTTCGGTAGGTTTAAAAAGCAGATACAGGATATAAAGAATATATTTTCAGAATTTATCACTACTGAAATGCTTTTCATAGAAAACGTTAGAAGTATACTCTGCTGTCTACCAAAATATACAAAGGATTGTTGAGGAAGAAGATTTAGAGGTTTTTCAGAAGCTCTACGGTGTTTCCCCAAAAATAAGACATCCTCCGAAAATAAGACCTACTTACAGGTTTCCTTCTGAGTGAAATATAAGGCATCCCCCAAAAAAATATGCCCCCCCTCCCCCAGGCTAAACATGAGAGATTTGGTCTACTGATTCTGAAAGAAATAGAGTCACAAGAAATTCACCGGGAAATTCAGGAATTGGATTGTTATGATGATGTTCCAGAAGATGATATGATTGTCATTGAATAAATGAGTAAATTCTTGATACTGTAGGATTCACAGTTTGTCTGGTTTGTGTTGACAATTACCGTACTACCGTACCGTATACAGGTAATAAATTTCCTTTATTTTCATTTAACAATAAATGTGTACCGTATTCTTCTTCATGGAAAAATAAAGATCCCCTGAAAATAAGACCTAGCGCATCTTTGGGAGCAAAAATTAATATAATACACTGTCTTATTTTCGGGGAAACTGGGTAGGTATCTGCCAGATTCTCCATCTTGTTTAGATACTGTAAGAGCAAATTCAGAGATTGATGTAAGCTAAGAGTGTCTCTGGAGCAGGACAGGTGTCCATCTGTCAACTAAGAAAGGATCAACAAGCAGAAGATGAAGAGTTAGATGTTAAAGAAGAAATTAATTTCCCTAAGTACATTTCTTTTTCCCCTTTCATATTAAAATAACTCAGAACCCAGGATTACTATATTTAAAACTACTATACTGGCTTGCTATGTTAAGCCTCAAAATGAAATGGGACTGAAAATAGAGAAAATTAAAGGAAACTTATGCTGACTGAAAATTAAGGTTTTAAAAGTATTACACACCTAGGCATTTCAAACTCCTATCTGGTAACATGTGATCTTTTTGTATGAACACTCACCCCCTTGGATTTCAAGGTACTTCATATTTATGCCCTGTACCTGGCTGCTATGATAAGTAGTAAGTAGGCAACAGAATCTAAAAGATCTGCCAATTCCACTTAGCTTCTTTTAGGTTGACTCCAGAAAAAGATCTCATCAAGTCATTCTGTAAAATGTAAATTCTAATTCATGAAACTAAGTAAAAAGATGTTTTCCATTTTTAAGCTTTTACTGAAACATAAAGTATCATTTGATCTGTAAATTTACAGTGTGGACCAAACAATAAAGGAAATAGGATACCAATAGATCTGTGTTTTACAAATGCATGAAGCATAAGTTTTAGTTTAATTTCAGAGAGATAGAAGCATCAATGATGAAAGGGAATCATTGATTGGCCACCTTCTGCGCGCGCGCGCACACACACACACACACACACACACACACACACACCCCTGTCCCTCCCCGCTCCCGAACTGTGGATCGAGCCCACAACCCGGGCATGTACCCCTCACCAGAATCAAACCGGGACCCCTCAGCCCGCAGGCCAACGCTCCGCCACTGAGCCAGACTGGCCAGGGCAGTGCTACAGCTTTTGAAAAGCTAGTAATCTGGTGGAATCTAAGAAAGCATAAGTACACATAGACTACCATACATTATGTAAAATTCTATAAAAATTTTATCAAGCTACCACCTAGTTAATAAGGTATAACCTTTCCCTTAGTCTCTTATTCTTGGAAGTATAAAACAATTTAATCAGCACTTATTATCTCATTTGGGATAACTGGAAAGAACAATTCTTCATAACAAAAATGGACTTTCAAGAAGCTTAAAAAAAAAAAAAAAAAGACCTTATCAGTTAGTCTCATTCTCTGCCTCCTCTCCCTCCACCCAGCCCCTATAGTGTGTGTGTGTGTGTGTGTGTGTGTGTGTGTGTGTGTGTCTGGATTTGCCTATTCTGGAGATTTCATATACATTGAATCTTTCAATTTTATGTCTGACTTCTTTCACTTAGCATATATTTTCAGAGTTCATCCTTGTTGTGTCATATACTTCTTTCTTTTTATGGCCAAATAACATTCTGTTGTATGGTGATGCCACATTTTTATGCATTCATCAGCTGATGGAAGTATGGGCTGTTGCCACTTTTAGGCAATTATGATTAATGCCGCTATGAATGTTACTCTCAAGATTTTTGTGTGACCATGTGTTTTCATTTCTTCTGGGTTTTGCTGGCTGAGATAGAAACTACATTGAACCTTTTGAGGAACTGCAAAACTTTCTGAAGTGGTGGCAGTATTTTACATTCCCACTAGCAAATCAAGAAATTTGTTATAGAATTTGTGAAATGTTTGGTTAAGTACCATACTAGTTAAATTTCTCTTTCTTTATATAAAAAATAACCCCAACTCACAATCATAGGTTGACACGGAAGTGGGTGAGTGAGTGCTGAATTCTGGAATGTAGGTCCAAACTTGCGGCGCTCTGTTTGATGCTACCAGGCACGCTCAACTCAAAAGTAGAAGTTGGAGGCCCACATGGCTCAGTGGCTTAACCTGTGAGCTAGGAGGTCACTGATTCCCAGTGACCTTAACCTGTGAGCTAGGAGGTCACTGATTCCCAGTCAGGGCATATACTAGGTTGCTGGCTAGATCACCATCAGGGGGTGGACAAGAGGCAGCTGATCAATGATTTTCTTTCATCATTGATGTTTTTCTCTCTCTCCCTTCTCTGAAATATATATGTATACATTTTTTAATTATTGTTATTATTTATTTTTAAGTATAAGTTGGGAAATGAAAACTTTTATTCTTTGATTACATTCAACCCATTTCCCCCCAATTTTGTTATGGCATTTAAATGTGTTTTTTAAATGTATTAGGGAAGATGTCATCAGTGTCTCCAGTGAGTGGAGAGAAAAGAATCCCCAGGTGTTGAGAAAGCCTGAAACTTACAGCAGTTGGTCCTTGTGCCACAATTTAGTCTTTTTATAAAAATGAATGTGATTCCTATTGCAAAAACTTGTGATATTTTGATGATGAAGTGATAGATTCAGGTTTTAAAAGATAAGATTTTTAAAAACCACTTGAAATAATTGTGGCAATGTCAGTGTTACTAAGAAGTGCTTTCATCTCATTCCTTTAAAAAAAAAAAAAAAAAGCTTGTTTACATCCTTCCTTTCAATTGCTAGTGTATGCTCGATGCTAAAACACTCTTTAGAAAGCATTCTGAGAAGTCATACACGACTAATTATGTTCACAATTTTCCCTGCTCATCAATACTAAACTGTTCTCTGCAAATAGGATGTGTATAGATTGAAGGGGAAAGTGTGTGCTCTGTTATTGTCTGGTAAGAAGAAGAAAGAAGCACAACTTAAGAGAGACCTCATGTCAGGCTCAAACTATTGTCTTAAAGTAATTGTGAGAGTCTGTCAACAACTCACACTGTGACCCGGATCAGAGGTTAGCAGCTTGTCAGGCCAGGTGTCAGCTGTGAGGTAGGAGAACTCAGCCAGCAAAGTGGCTTCAAAACACATTGGATTTTATCGGTGTGTCCCCCTGGAGGGCAGCCTTTTACAGATGAGGCTTGGGATGGCGGCTTTGATGACAGCCAGGTAGGGCTTGGTTGTAAGCATGAAGGAACTATCAAGAAGTGAACATAGCCGAAACCAGTTTGGCTCAATGGATAGAGCGTCGGCTTGGGGACTGAAGGGTCCCGGGTTCGATTCCGGTCAAGGGCATGTACATTGGTTGCGGGCACAACCCCAGTATGGGGTGTGCAAGAGGCAGCTGGTCGATGATACTCTCTCATCGATGTTTCTATCTATCTCTCTCTCTTCTTCTCTGTACAAAATCAATAAAATATATTTTAAAAATTAAAAAAGAAAGAGAAAGAAAAAAAAAAAAAAGCGAACATAGTGGGGGTAAGAGATCAACCGAAGGATTTTTTTTGTATGCATGCATATAACATAACCAATGGACACAGGACACTGTGGGGAAGGCCTGTGCCAAGGGGTAGGCGAGGCCAGGGGAAGGTTAATGGGGGAAAAGGAGACCTATGTACTACTATTTGTAATACTTTAAACAATAAAATAACATTTTAAAAAATTTAAAAAAAGAAGTGAACAGAAAAGTATATGAACCCACATGTTTGTATGTAATTTTTCTTTTTTCTCATATAGGAGCAGAAATGCATAAAAGCAGCTGGAAAAGTAGAAGAGTTGGAAGAAGGAGCCAGCGGCAGAACCCTAGACTCAGACAACACAGCCCTAACGAGAGGCAAGTGCTGTTCCCCAGTGCCATTCAGTATTGTCCAGCACCCTCCCGTGCTCGTGGGTCACTGGGCGTTTGGTCAAAATGCAGAGTCCTAGGTGGGGCCCAGCGAGAGTCTGCACTCTCACAAGCTCCCAGGGGATGCTCTGCTGCGGGTCAGCCTGCCCCGTTGCACTTCGGGCGGTGAGGAGCGAGGGCCACTCACTCTTCTTTGTTCTCAGAGTGACCATGACTTCTGGCCAGCGCGTTAGCCATGAGCTTAGCGTAGACTTTATCTGAGGCAACTGAAGGAGAGTTGCTTCTCCATTTTATAGACTCCCTCTCTCTTTTCCTGTCTTTTTTTTTTTTTTTTTTTCCACCCAATGAAAATAGCATTCTGGAAATGTAATTAATTCAGTAAATCCTGAGAAAGAAGCTATATATGCACATATATAAAATATAGTATAATATTTAAAAACACAAAAAGGCATAAAGAATAGTACAATGAATGTGTACCTTCCACCCAGCTTAAAAAATAAAGCCTAGTCAAAACCGATTTGGCTCAATGGATAGAGCGTCAGCCTGCGGACTGAAAAATACCGGGTTCAATTCCGGTCAAGGGCATGTACATTGGTTGCGGGCACATCCCCAGTAGTGGATTGTGGAGGAGGCAGCTGGTCAATGATTCTCTCTCATCGATGTTTCTGGCTCTCTATTCCTCCCTTTAAATAAAATAAAATAAAATAAAATAAAATAAAAATAAAGCCTAGTCAATACTTAGTTGAAATCCCAATATAAACATTTTCCACTCTACTTATTTCTTAAATATATTTTATTGATTTCAGAGAGGAAGGGAGAGGGAGGGAGAGAGAAACATCAATAATGAGAGGGAATCATGGACCAGCCACTCTGCTTATTTCACTGCATGAAGGAAATACAAGCAATCTGGTTTCAGAACAAGACTCCCCATCTCCTCGTGGCAGGAGAGGACACCTCCACAGTCAGGGTTGCTGGTGTGACTTCTGGCCATAAGAAGTCTGCACCAAGGGGACATTTCTGCCAATTTTAAAACTTCCTTACTCCAGACCTTTCAAAATGGACAGATTTCTAGTTAGAAGGTGTTAAAGGCCATGATGCTTCTTTAGACCAGCTTAAAACAAACAATAACAAAAAGCATCCAAATGTTGTGGAATGGCCTGGCTGGTGTGGCTCAGCAATTGAGCATCAGCCTAGGAACTAAGAGGTCACTAGTTTGATTTCTGATCAGGGCACATGCAGGTTATGTTTCTCTCTTATTGATGTTTCTGTCTCTCTATCCTTTTCCCTTTCTCTCTCTACAAAAAATCAATAAAAACATATTTTAAAAAAATGTTGTGCCAAAACCAGTTTGGCTCAGTGGATAGAGCGTCAGCCTGAGGATTGAAGGGTCCTAGGTTCGATTCTGGTCAAGGGCATGTACCTTGGTTGTGGGCACATCCCCAGTAGGGGGCTATAGGAGGCAGCTAATTGATGTTTCTAGCTCTCTATCCCTCTCCCTTCCTCTCTGTGAAAAATCAATAAAAATACATAGGAACAAGGGCTTTGAAATTAAGAAGTCTGAGTTTGCACACTGCTTTTCCCTATGGGCAAGTTACTTAATCACTGAGTTGCTCTTGTACAATCCTTCACTTGTGAACTTCACAATAAGGTATATAAAGCCCTTAACGCCTGTCTAGGGTAGGCCCTCCGTACGGCATGGGCCTCATTAGGTGCAGAATATTACTCTAAGCCAGAGTCCCAGGCTGGACCAGTATTGTAGCAAGATCAGGGCAGTGCCCAGTGTTTGTATGTTTTGAAAGGAGAACCGTGGATACTTTTGTGCCCCAGGCCTTCCCATAGAACACAGTGCGGAGTACAATGTGATCTGTGCAAGAGTCTCAGCTCAGCTTTGGCCGAGTTGTGTGGAAACACGCTGAACAGCCACCTTCTGGGCTCCCTGTAGAAAGCATGGAGCAGCAGTCCTTGGACTAGAAATACAGACATTTGTCAGGACACTTAATCCTGCTTTCCTCCTGCTGCTGATCACAGATGAGTTTCCTGATCACGGGAAGCTCTGGGCCATAAAAAGGAAGAATAAATTTTCCCTGAAACCATGCTTCGTTAGTATTTATAGACAAAAGAGAAAGTTCTTTTCATTCCTTCCATCTCGTTTTGCAATTTGTGCTCCTTTTGGTGTGCCGGGAGAGGGGGGAAGTTCCTGATTTTAAAGAGGATTTTATCAGGATTCTAAAATTAGGTCTTTTGCACTATTATTATACCCTTTAGCCTATAATTATCATGGAAGCTGCTTGTAGCTTTGCAAAATGAGTGTTTAAACCATGGCTCTCTCTCAGTGTTACTGAGCAAATCACCTCTGTGTCCTGAACCCCAGTTTCTCCATCTATAAGGTTGGGTTGCCAAGTACAATTTAAACTCTATATTGCTGGGTCCAGTAAAGAATGAAATTCACCTGGCCTTGTAACTGCTGTTGAGCTGACAAATGAGCCCAGCTGGTAGAATTCTTTTTTGTTTTGTTTGTTTAAAGTATTACATACGTCTCCTCTTTCCCTGATTGACCTCTCTCACCCACACTACTCCTGCCCCCAGGACATGCCCCCACCGCCCCAGTATCTGTGTCCATTGGTTATGTAATATGCATGCATACAGGTCCTTTGGTTGATTTCTTACCCCAACCTTCAACTTCCCCTGCCTTCTCTCTGAGGTTGGACTGTCTGTTCAGTGCTACCTTGTCTCTGGATCTATTTTTGTTCATCAGTTTATGTTGTTCATTATATCCCACATATGAGTGAGATCATGTGATATTTATCTTTCTCCGACTGGCTTATTTCACTTAGCATAATGCTGCTCTCCAGGTCCATTCATGCTGTTGCAAATGGTAAAAGTTCCTTCTTATTTATAGCGGCATAGTATTCCACTTGTGTAGATGTACCACCGATTTTTAATCCACTTATCTGCTGACGGGCACTTAGGCTGTTCCCAAATCTTAGCTATTATAAATTGTGCTGCTGTGAACATAGGGATGCATGATGAATTCTTATTGGCAAAGATTTCTGGTCCTCTTTTCATCTGGAAAATTCCAAAAGACCTCGTGAAGTGTTCAAGTGAGGAGATGAGAAAAGGAATGACACGCATCCTCTTAGGATGAGAGACAAAAACCCTTGCTCTAACGGGTGTATTGCAATAGGTAAACTACTTTTAAGGAAAAGGGGGGTTAATGCTTCCCAATAATGGAAGGTGAGAGGGCCAGGGGTGAAGGCTGTGGCACTACCTGAGCTACCCTGCCAGGACCCCACAGTCAGAGAATGACTGGGTCTCCAGCCCCTCACTGCGCGTTACCATGGTTGTGTCGACAGGTGTAACTCAGGGGCAGAGCAGAGCCCACAGGATTCCGACCATGACGATGAGGAGGTCCCGTCGACCTCGTCCAGCACAGCTGGGAGTTCTGCGCCAGGTAAGGCAGCCTGCTGGTGAGGACTCCCCTGGCCCTGCCCACGGAGAAAGATGAAACCTAGTCCTGGCTGGTCAACTGGTTATGTCTGTTCGGGCCGCCCTTCCTCCTGGGTGTCTGCACTCGCACGTGGCTGAACTCCATGTGTGTTACCAGCTCATTCGGGCTTAGAGGAGATTCTGGGAGCAAATGGGAACAGTAAAGGGAGGAACTGGGTACGCCAAGAACTGTGATCCTGAGGCAAACAGCGCCCCCAGCCCTGAACTGGGCCCAGAACGGTGACTGACAATGCTAGCCCCCCCTCCCGCCCCTTAGAAAAGACAGGCAGCTGTGAGGTGGGGGACAGGCTCCGGGCTACTTTCTAGATGGTCCGGTCGCAGTATTTTAAGTTGGATTTTATTTCTTTTGGCTAAAGATCTACCAGGGTATTACTTTGACCCCGAAAAGAATCGGTACTTCCGCTTGCTCCCTGGACACAACAACTGCAACCCCCTCACGAGGGAGGGCATCGAGCAGAAGGCAATGGAGCTCAAAAGGCTGCAGCTGCTGGAGGAAGAGGACAGGCCGACCAAGGTGGGCTCCACGCCCCGGGGGCCGCTGGGCCCGCACTCCTGCCAGCCTGCGGCCACGGCTGAAGGCAGGCGCCCATTCAGCGCCCCTGCACGCCCGCTTAGTGCACGTTGGGAGTGTGGCGGTGACTTTTCCCTGGCAGGAACCTGACGAAGAGAAGAAGAACAAGCGAGCAGTCTCCTCCCACTCCACTTTCCCAATTTGCAAGTTTCATCAGTAATTCTAACATCTGTCCTTCCCTGGAGGAATCTTGAAAAGCAGCATGATACAGTTTCAGTAACTGTATATTTTGAATAGAAAACCAACGTACATGGTTTGGATATGAGGGTTTCTTAAATCCCTTCTGGGGATTAGATGTCAGGACATTTGGATGGCTATGTGGCAACAGAATGGGAAATCTGGGCCCCCGGGTCACCACAGGTGGACTGGCAAGCACGATGCAGACCTGAGTGTCGAGGGCCGTTCCTGCACTCACTAGCTTTGTAGCTTCTCCCCAAGGATAGCTTGACTGGGGGCTTAGACAGAGGCACTGGGCAGACCTTCCAGTCACACATTCTTGCTTGTGATATGCTTTTCCTCTTGCCATGATTGGAAACTAGCCAAGGAGACAATCGAATTTATAGCATATAATTTCTGCCAATTTACTACCTTTTCATTGCATCCTATGGAACTAAAAAATATTTTGTTATTTTATAACATAAAACTTCACTGAATCTATCTTGTTTTTTAATTTAGAAAATAACCAGGATGGGATTTAATGCCACTTCCTTGTTACAAAAAAGCAAGCTGGGTTTTCTCAATGCCACCAGTTATTGCCGGTAAGTCAGTGCCTCGTGTTTTCTTCACGAGTATTCTTTTTTATTATTATTTTTTAATATATTTTATTGATTTTTTTTTTACAAAGAGGAAGGGAGAGGGATAGAGAGTTAGAAACGTCGATGAGAGAGAACATTGATCAGCTGCCTCCCACACCCTTTTCTCCCCCCACTGGGGATGTGCCTGCAACCAAGGTACATGCCCCCGACTGGAATCGAACCTGGGACATCTCAGTCTGCAGGCCGGCGCTCCATCCACTGAGCCAAACTGGTTTTGGCATTCACGAGTATTCTTTTTCTGTTTTTTATTTCCATGGCCCAAGAATCCAGTCAGGAGACCACATAGCTGCTCTGTGAGGAGTCCTCACAATTGAAGCTCACAGCCTGCCGCCTGCTGCTGAACCCACCCTGAGAGAATCTCCCCTAGAGCACGGGCAGGCTTCTGCAGGCCCGAGGAAGGCGAGGGGGCCCAGGCAGAGAAATTGGGCAGGAATGTCCCAGGATGTTTTCTCTGTTACTTATAAATCATGTTTAGTCTAGTAGTAGGTCTTATAACTTTATTCCTGTGAGATTTCTGCTTCCTTTTCTTTCTACCTGATAAGTTACAAAAAATGGAACATTAAATAGATGTATGTGCACTAAACTTAACGACTTGTGATTCCTGATACAATTCTAACTAAAGCTCTATGAGGTAGGTAGATAATTTCCTCTCGTTTCTAGAAGAGACCGAAGCTCAGAGCGATTTTTCTCAAAGTAAAGCCAGAAAGGATGGGATCTGTCTGACACCCAGACCTGAGCTCCTCACCCTGTGTTCCGCTGCCTCCCACTGTGTGTGGACGGGGAGAGACACCATGAGTTTGGGTGGTTTATCGGCTCTCATTTGGGAGTGAGGCTGCCTTCCGTGGAGGCCAGCCATGCAGGAGATGTGAGGTAAGGCAGGTAGGAACATGCCTCTCCTCCATTTCCCTAAAAGAGATAAATATCTAGATAAAAAGACCAGTTCCTCGCCCTAAAACATGCTTTCTCCTTTGTGGAGAGGTAGCATGACGTGGAGGGAAAGAGGCAGTAAGATGGGCCGCTGCATGCCTAGGCTCTTCGCATGAGCTGGTTGTGTGCCTCTCAGCGTGTTTCATTTCTCAGGCACCTTCTCTTGGTCTCAAGAGAAAGAGTCATACCTGATGATCCAAAAACAGATTCCTCTAGTTCTAATTTTCTTCGACCCTGTGAATGGGCCGCTCCTTCCTTTGCTTTAGTTTTTCTGAGAGTTCTAAAATTGGATTTATTTGGGATCTTGCTCATTTCCATTGCTGAGAAATAACAGGGCCAACATGGTGAGGTGATCTTAGGGTGTGAGGCAGGGAAGAAGCTCTGAATCTTCCTCATGGGTGTCTAGGTGTGGTGCCCATGCCCTCCCCGCCCTCTTTCCCCCTGCAGGTTAGCCCATGAGCTGCGAGTGAGCTGCATGCAGAGGAAGAAGGTTCAGATTCACAGCTCCGATCCCTCCGCTCTGGCCAGCGACCGATTTAACCTCATAATGGTGAGTGGGAGGGGCCACATGTGATGCCAGGGATGTTGCTGCCATGCCCGACACTTTATGGCCTAGCATTGGCTCCCATCGCGCCCTGCTGTTAGATGCCAGTTGCATAAAAGCTTGTGTCCACTAGTTTCAACAGGCATCTGCTGGCTACCCATCAGCAGGTGCCCAACTGGCAAGGAAGGTTATGGTGATCATTGTCACCCCTATTATAGCTCTGTCATTTGACATGAGATTCGGGGCCCACCTCACATTGACTGAGAACCACCAGAAGGGTACACAGTGGTTTGGGCAGGATTTGGTGGCCAGCCCTAGCGCTCCAGTGTCCTCAGTAGCAACAGCAGGTTACTCCCTTGCTTGGTGTTCTGACCTGAGTAGCAGGGGCCTGAAAGCCTGTGATCCTTGGCCTGCACACCCACTACCATCATGCCATTTACAAGGAGCAAAAATCTCCTCTTGCCGAAACCGGTTTGGCTTAGTGGATAGAGCGTCGGCCTGTGGACTGAAAGGTCCCGGGTTCGATTCTGGTCAAGGGCAGGTGCCTTGGTTGCGGGCACATCCCCAGTAGGGGGTGTGCAGGAGGCGGCTGATCAATGTTTCTCCCTCATTGATGTTTCTAACTCTATCCTTCTCCCTTCCTCTCTGTAAAAAAATCAATAAAATATATTAAAAAAAAAAAAAAAAAATCTCGGTTAGACCCGGGCTGGAAGCCAGGGCCAACTACTTGAGTCCAGGGAAATGTTGGCAAAGGATCCACTGCAAACAGAAGGAGCCAAACTGCTCAGGTAGTCTGGGGATTCAAGGTCACATAGAGCAAGCCCTGTCTTGCCTGGAGGCCTAGGGAAGACCCAGGAAAGTGAGAGAGACACACAAAACAGAGCTTCGCCCAGCCATTATGGCTCAGTGGTTGAATGTCTGCCTATGAACCAGGAGGTCAAGGTTCGATTCCCCATCAGGGCACATGCCTGGGTTGCAGGCTCACTCCCCTGTAAGGGAAGGGGCGTGCAGGAGGCAGCCAATCAATGACTCTTATAATTTATGTTTCTATCCCTCCCTCTCTGAAATCAATAAAAATATATATATTTTTAAAAAGAGCCTCAGCCTGATGATCTGACAGGACTAGGGGCTGAAGCTGCAGAATTGACCCTTGACATCTTGCCCCGGGAGACCTCGATAGAGGAGCCCTTCCTCATAAGGGTTTCAGGGGCCAGGACTCATTCCCCCCGTATGTGTTTGGGGAGACATTTGACCTGAATACTTTCTTGGAGTGAGTTCCCCTCGGGTCATCTCTGCGCTCCCTCATGGACAGGAGCTCTCAGCTGGTGAATATGCAGAGACATGGGGTTGGATAGATGAGCAGATGGTGTTAGGCCTGCGAAGTCACCTACAAGCCGCTTTCCCCTTCCAGGCGGACACCAACAGTGACCGGCTCTTCACAGTGAATGATGTCAAGGTTGGAGGCTCCAAGTACGGCATCATCAGCCTGCGTGGTCTGAAGCCCCCCACACTCAGGGTGCATATGCACGAAAACCTCTACTTCACCAACCGGAAGGTACTCCGCCCGCCCCTGTAGCTTTGCAGCCCACTTGCCTTTTGGCCCAGGGGCACTGCAATAGTTAGCCGAACTCGGAGGAGAGGAGAGAGCTTTGGGAAGAAGCCAGCGCCCTGTTACCTCATTTCCCCAAGGGAGAGACGGAGTTGTAGATCCTGAGAACCCCTGGAGGAAGAAGAGGGTCCCAGGAGTTTCTTGTCTGGAAAGAGAAAAGAATTCAGAGGTGGGAAGCCTTGCAGAAGGATTGAGTTGGTTCGAAGGAGCCCACGTAAGGGACACAGTTCCTGGGAGGTGGGCTGTAGTAGCCTGGCAGAGGGTCCTCCAGAGGATCGGGACGATGTGGGAGCATTCAGCCACCATGGCTAACACTGAGGTTTACGTACATGTGGAAAGCTTGATGTCCGAGGGGCAACCTTTAAGCTGCAGTGGGTGACAACTGCATCCGTAAGAAGCTGTGGCTTTCTGTTCTTTGGGATATGAGCCACAAGATAGGAAAATGGTTTCTGGGTAAAGTGAGATACAGTACGCCTTCAGAGTTAGGTTTGCTTCCTGTCGTTGAAGAGAAGTCATCCTTGCCCTACAGGGTTTACCAGATGTCTCACTGTGAGGCCCATGCTGACATTGGAGGACTAAGGCCTGGGGCTACCTCCTCCCTGTCCCCCTTTAAGGCTCTATGTGTTGGACAGGAGCTTCCCTTTCTCAGGATGCTTGTTCCAGCCCCTTTTAAAGGGAAGATCTATCCCCACAAGTTACTCCATGAGGTGGTGGTCAGACCAATCTTTCCGTCGTGCTATGTGCTTCCTCACCAGGTGAACTCTGTGTGCTGGGCCTCGCTGAACCACCAGGATTCTCACATTCTGTATCCTTTGGCAGGTGAAGAGGTTTGGTGGGCAGGCCACGCCCTATTGTGGACAGGCATCCATGGGGTTTGTAAAGTCATATCTTAGAAGTCAGAAGTCTGGACTATTCTGCATAAACTTCATTCTTTCAGAAAGAGCAATGCACATGGTAAAAGACAAGAATGCCCATGATGCTCAGGGAAGTAGTTGAGGTCCTGGGGTGACTTTGAGGTCACTATGAACTCTAGCAGAGGAATAAAGCAGAAAGGAGCAGTAAAATCTTGGGAAGGAACCCCCGATCCTCCTGAAGCAGAGGTAGGAGCAAGAGCTGCAGTTGTCCCAAGGTGGGGTGGGCCTCCTCGGGGAAGGGGAAGGCTGAGGCAGGCATCAGAGAAAGGGGGTTCCTTTGGCATGGGGCATGGGCCTGCAGGCTCTGGACCTGGGGTCTCTGCAGAGATGGCCTTCTTTGGAGCACTCTTCATTCTAGTCTCTGTCTTCCCAGAGAGCCATCAGGGCTTCTTTGCTAGGAGCACAGTAGTGCAATGTCAGGGTAGCTGGGCCCTTCGTCTGGGGTCCCCAGGGTTTCTCGATGCTCAGGACAATTGTCCGACATGTGATTGACAGAAGAGTATTGTTTGATCCCAAGCAAAACCACATGTTAATGAGTCTTGTCTTGAATCATTTCCATAATAAAAATAAATGAGTTATTAAAAGGATGACCACTGGTACCCAACACACACTTCATGCCATGTGGTTAACAGTTAACATCTGTGAATGCACTTAGCACAGTGGGTGGCACATGTGGGTCCTCAACAAATGCTGGCTGAATCAGAACCTATTTAAACCTGTGGGTTTCAGCCACAGAGACTAAAAGTGCATGTGTAAGGACTTTCCCCCCATATCCTTGCCATCCACACTAGAGATACTTACCACCTAAGGCAGCATGATAAGCCCGCATCAGACAGACAAAAATGTTGCCTGATTGCTTTGCAAATATTTACATTTTTTTGATGAGGTGTGTGTGTGTTCATTCTACCAACATCTACTGAGCATATACAAAACCTGTGCAAAGTGCTGGAGGTGGGCAGCTCCACAGGAGTCTGTGTAGTGATGTCTGTGTTGCAGCTGGATGTAAGAGGGATGCAGGTATTGGGATGCATGGAAAGGAGGGGCCAGTGCTCCATCAGAAGAAAGAGTCAGGAGATCGTGCACATGGGTATCCATGACGTCTCTGGCTAAGGGGGGTCTTGCAAGACTGAATCCTCAGGGATGTACGATGCCCATGGAAGTCTGTGATCATGGAGTCATTTCTTATACAGGCTAACGACGGTGAGACCTCAGATAGAAAGCTGTTACAATATTAAGCAGGCAGTGGAGAGGGAGAGTGATGAGCAGGAGTGGAGGAGAGGCACAAGTCTCAGAGGCTTGGGATCCAGGCCAGGCAGTGTTGGTGTTTGGAAGAGTCCAAAGAAGGACTCTACGAGTGATGGTGTGGAGACCAAGGAGTTTGTGGTTAGAAATTGTGCTGCATGACCCCAGGGCAGGCCTGGAGGGTGTTCATCAGATTCAGAAGCTAGGGCTCATTGGAGACTTTGGGGAGAACATTTACTGGGAAAGTGTCAAACCTGGATCTTAGTGAGTTGACGAGTGAAAGAAAGGCAAGGAGTGGGGATACATGTAGGTTCTGATTGAGAGAAATTAGGCTGGGAAGGTAACGGGAGAGGAACCAAATCAGTCAGCAAACGGTACAGTAGAAAAGTAGACAATGAATATAGAGACAGTTCAGAAGGGAAACCCACACGACTAATCAGATGAATCAGTACACCCAGTTGTAGTTAGGGAAATGTGAATTTAATTAATGGGAAGGCATTTTTTACCCATTCAGAGAAGCACAAATTTTCAAGCTCTGATACTGCCAAGATTTGACAGATAAGGAGAATGGGGAACAATGCTGGATAAGTGCATTGATATAACCACTTTAAGTTGGAAGTTGGAGACACAAGAACCTTAAAACCCCACAGGCCTATCCATTCTAGGTATAGACATAGGAGCAGCTTCCACGCTGCAGGTCATGGCCTGTCAGTGGGCTATGGAAAGAATTTGTGAGCAACATATTTTAAGTGAAACAGACTAGAAAATATGACAGTTTCATACTTAGTAAGGACAATTCCTATATAATAAAACCCTAATATGCAAATCGGCTGAATAGTAGTTGCTATGATGCACACTGACCACCAGGGGGAAGACACTTAGTGCAGGAACTGCCCCCTGGTAGTCAGTACACTCCCACCTGAGGATTACCACTCAGCCAGAAGCCCGGCAAACGGCTGGCGAACACAGTCCGGGGCAGTAGTAAGGAGCAGCGATCTGAGCGGTAAGAAGCAGGTGGGTAGTGTGAGGCAAGAAGTCCTGAACTGGGCCAAAACTGGTTTGGCTCAGTGGATAGAGCATCAGCCTGCGGACTGAAAGGTCCTGGGTTCAATTCCGGTCAAGGACATGTACCTTGGTTGCGGGCTCCTCTACAGTGGGGGGTGTGCAGGAGGCAGCTGATCGATGTTTCTCTCTCATCGATGTTTCTAACTCTCTATCCCTCCTCCTTCCTCTCTGTAAAAAAAACAACAATAAAATATATTAAAAAACAAAGAAGTTCTGGACTGTGAGTGGGATGTCCAACTGCCAGCTTAAGCCCACTCCCAGGAGCCAGCCTAAGCCAGCAGTCAGACATCCCCTGAGGGCTCCTGGACTGCGAGAGGGTGCAGGCCAGCCTGAGAGGCATCCCCACACACACACACCAGTGCACAAATTTCTTGCACTGGGCCGCTAGTATTTTATGAAACTTTTGTTTCAAATATTTGTGTGTGTATATAGCATGTAGTACTGTAAAATTAAATTCTTATTCTGGGATTAAGAAACACTGCTTTAGAAAAGGCTCCCACACATGGCCCTGGGAGACAGGAAGGCACACATTCCAGCAGCAGAGCAAAAAGAGAAACAACCACCTAGGTGCCCAGCAGAAGACGAACAAATCAGTTGTGATGCATTTATACAAAGAATGGTGTAAGTGAAGGAACTGGGGCTATAAACCCCAACACGGATAAATCTAGAAGACCATGGACATGGATCTGTGTGATACTGCTTACGTATGTTTTCAAAGCCGTGACAGTTCTACCGCTCATGGGCGAATATGCTGTGGCGATGTAACATGGCCAAGAACTTGGGCCGATTTTAGAGAGCGATTCTGGGTGAGGGAAAAGGGAGAGTGGGCGAGGGAGGGGTCAAAGAGGACTTTTAGCCGTGTCTGTGACAGTTTTCCTTTGAAGACTTCGGAAGCCCAGTAAGGAAAGTGTGGATGTGTTGAATCTGGCTTTCCGGGCATTATTTTTGTAATTTCTTGAAGGTGCTAATGCCCTTTCCCCTCCCAGAGGAGAGCTTGTACTTGACTGTCCTTAACAGCGTTTCCAGGCTGTGCCTCATGGGAATCGCAGAGACTCCGGGCTGTGCCACCCTGCTCCCAGCGTCGCTGTTCGTCAATAGTCACCCAGGTACCGGCCCTCCCCTTTTTGGTAAGGGGGTGCTGTGACAGGTCTCTGTCCTCGCCTCTCAGAGGCTACAGCCAACAACGCCAGAAGCTCCTGGGCGGAGGATTGGACAAGAAGGGGTGGAAACCACAGGCTGAGTGAACCAGTCGGAGCTCGCAGGATGGGGACAGCAAACACTTGTGGGGAGCCCGTAAACCTGATCCAGGATTTATACTGGAAGCATGTGCATCTTCCTTTTTGGTGTTTTTTTTTTATATATATTTTATTGATTTTTTACAGAGAGGAAGGGAGAGAAATAGAGAGCCAGAAACGTCAATGAGAGAGAATCATCGACCAGCCGTCTCCTGCACATCCCCCACTGGGGATGTGCCCACAACCAACGTACATGCCCTTGACCGAATCGAACCCAGGACCTTTCAGTCTGCAGACCGACGCTCTGCCACTGAGCCAAACCAGTTTTGGCTGCATCTTCCTTTTTAAAAAAGATTTTCAGATAGAAGTAGAAACATCAGGGATGAAAGAGAATCATTGATTGGTTGCCTCCTGCAGGTACCCTACTGGAGGTTGAGCCAGCAAAACCCAGGCAAGTGCCCTAACCAGGCATCGAACTTACATTGGACAATGTCCAACTGTTTGAGCCACACTGACCAGGGATGCATTGGCATCTTTACATATCTCCTTTTGGGTCATTTTAGGAGCCCAAACGGTTAAAAGTATGTGTAATCAATTCAAGAAATCAAAACATTTATTTGAGCTCCTGGTACAGATCATTCACAAAGGTGTGACCCGCTGGGTTACCAGGGATATTTACATTCTCTGGCTGAAGGCAGTTCAGAATTCTGGACTTCTTCCTGGTAGCATTCTGAAAATTAAGTTTCTAATCTTTCAGAGAATTAGGATCAATTAGACAAGGGTCAGGCCTCTAAGAGTACAGGCTTCAGGCAGACTAGCACGAATCCCAGCTTGAACAGATTGCTTTAAATTCTGTAAAGTGAAGATGGTACCTACCCCATCAGGTTACATGGTACATGAAGTCACATACACTTAGCCCAGTGCCTGGCATTTTGTTAACGGCTAGTGTATGGAGCAGGTATTATCACCATTTATAGATGAAGAAACAGCCAAGAGAAGTTCAGAATTTGCCTTTAAAACTAATTTGTGGCCTGATCCGTGTGGGTCAGGTTGAGGGTCATCACGGTTTGAATCCTGGTGAGGGCACATGCCCCCCTGGTTATGGGGCCAATCCCACAAAACCTCATCCTGGGTTCTCTGCGGTCCCTGGTTCAAAGTGGCTATTGTGAGGATGAATATATAAATCTTTCCTGACGTCCAGGAGAAGTGTTAAAAGAGACTAAGCTATCGGGGGGTAATGTAGTGTCTCAGATAAGAGGGCTTCAATCTCAGATCATATTATTAGATGTGCATGTCAAGCAAAACAGGTTTTTTTGTTGCTGTTTTGTGTGTGTGTGTGTGTGTGTGTTTTAATATATATTTTATTGATTTTTTACAGAGAGGAGGAGAGAGGGATAGAGAGTTAGAAACATCGATGAGAGAGAATCATTGATCAGCTGCCTCTGGCACACCCCCCACTGGGGATGTGCCCGTAAAACATACATAGTGGGCACAAATCTTAAGTATACAGTTTAATGAGTTTTCACAAGGTAAATATAGCCACCACCCAGGTTAAGAAACAGAATTTCCAGTACCCTCCCAATTACCACTTCCCTAAAGGGAACCACTATCCTGACTTCTAACCACAGTTTTTTATTGTTGATTTTTTAAAAATATATTTTTATTAATTTCAGAGAGGGAGAGAGAAACATCAATGATGAGAGAGAATCATTGCTCGGCTGCCTCCTGCACACTCCTGAGCAGCTGTTCCTGGAGGTTTCCCAAATCGGGTGGTTACTGGCATGGCAGCGTGAAGGGGAGGTCTCTGTCCCTCGAGGGCTGCCATCTGTACACTCCCTGCTTCTCTTAGCAGGAGACCGGCCTGGCATGCTGTGCAGTTTCCGGATCCCTGGGGCCTGGTCCTGTGCCTGGTCCTCAAACATCCAGGCAAATAACTGCTTCAGCACAGGTGAGCCGGCTGCCACCCCATGCTCCCAGAGTAAAGGATGTTTCAGACCTTAAATCCCCAGATTACAAGTGACACCTGTCTCTCCGCCTCATCTCTGTCTCCGTCAGGTTTGTCTCGGTGGGTCCTGGTGACCAACGTGGTGACGGGACACCGGCTGTCATTTGGGACGAGCAGTGATGTCTTGGCCCAGCAGTTTGCTGTTATGGTTGGTGGGACTGGGAAGGGCCCAATACAGTTTCCCAAGAGTGGAAATTTTGCTGGGTTGAAATTGGATTTCCATGTAACCGACAGTCCTCATTCCCCCTTTACAGGGGAAAACATCAGAAGGATTAAGGGTTTCTTAAATGTGTCTGCACTGAGTGAAAGCTGACTGATCTAGAAAGGCCAGGTTAACTGGCTTTAAATAACTTCCTGTTTATTTTTATTTTTTTTTAAATATATTTTATTGATTTTTTACAGAGAAGAAAGGAGAGGGATAGAAAGCTATAATCATTGATGAGAGAGAAACAGCTGCCTCTTGCACACCCCGTATTGGGGATGTGCCCGCAACCAATGTACATGCCCTTGACCGGAATCGAACCTGGAACCTTTCAGTCCACAGACCGACGCTCTATCCAGTGAGCCAAACCAGTTTTAGCAAACAACTTTCTGGTTAAATGAACTGTTAGCAGTTCTTAAGTAGCACTTGGATTAGCCAATAGGACAAGCAGTTTTTTGTTTTTAATGTTTTATTGATTTTTTTTTTTTTTTTTTTTTCAGAGAGGGAGAGGAATAGAGATGTAAACATTGATGAGAAAGAAACATCAGTAGGCTGCCTCCTGCACGCCCTCCCACGTCTAATGGGGATTGAGTTTGCAACATGGGCAGGTGCCCTGACTGGGAATTGAACTGGAGACTTCTTGGTTCATAGGTCGATACTCAACCACTGAGCCACAGCAGCCTGGCAAGCAGTTTTTTTTTTTAGTGTGTAAATTCCCAGTTTAGAGCCCTTAATAGTTTCATACACAGTTTTCAAGTTACACATTTTATAAATTTAAAAAAAAAAATTCTAGTCTTACTGCATTTCAAAATTTTGTTCCACAGAATATGCCGTCTCTCTTTAGAAATGTGGAGGCGGTAGTATGCCAATCTGCTTCCAGCAGTAAGAACAGAGTTCGTTAATTCCGGTTTCTTCAGCCATCATCCCTCTCTATTTAGGACCCTGTGTCTTACCTGGACCTCTGATCTCTCCCACTCCATCCTCATCACCCCAGCTTCTCACACAATCTTGGTGGAGATAGGGCGCCGTCACTTGGGCTTTGGAGTGAAGTCTAATGGACCAGTGCAGCCAGTGGGAACGACCTTGGCGGGACACATGGGGCCCAGTTCTCTGCTTTCCTAAGGAACCCTCCCAACTCCGCTGAGGCCCAGACTCTGACCAACCATACCCACACCTCTGATGCCAGAGAGCTGGGATAGGGGAGGGGACGGAAGGCTGTGTTCTGGAGGGCGCACCCCGCCCAGCCTTCGCGGGAGGTACCACGCCATCCCTCTTTCCACAGACTCCTTTGCTGTTCAACGGCTGTCGCTCTGGGGAGATCTTTGCCATTGATATTCGATGTCGAAATCAAAGCAATAACTCGAAGGCCATTAGCCTGTTCCACGACAAATCGGTGACCTCTATGAAAATTCTACAAGAAGAGCAGTGCCTGGTGGCATCCGACATGGCTGGAAAGGTAGAGGACACTGCAGGCAGCTGCTTTGCTAGAGCCCAGTCTGGTCTAGACACGTCAAACTGGTTCTGGTGCTTTTGATGGAGTCTCGGCCTCGGGATTTGGAGGCTTAGATTTCTCTAACAGGAAGAGGTGTTTGGAGAGCGCCTGCCCTCCCTCATTCCTGGGGTTCACCAGTGTACCTGCTGGCCCCTCCTTAGCGGTCCCTCGTGCTTCTTCCCTTAGATCAAGCTGTGGGACCTGAGGACCACGAAGTGTGTAACGCAGTACGAAGGTCACGTGAACGAGTACGCCCGCCTGCCCCTGCACGTGCATGAAGAGGAAGGAATCCTGGTGGCCGGTACGTGGGGCAGGGGCAGTTGTTCCATTCACCAAATTCTGTCCTGGGCCCCCAGCGTCTGAAGCAGCTGAGGGAGACATTACTCTAAAACTGAACACAGTAGTATAGGGTTGTGGTCTGTTGGGATTGGGGAGTCTAGCTGGGACAGCCCTTCGTTTCCACATCAGTGGACAAACATCCTCTCAGTAACAGGCAAGCTGGGTGCAGTACCAGCAGTTTGGGAGACTTGGGAGTAGGGTTGACATCTGTTCCCCAGGTCAGCATTCAGTGTGGCCTTATCCCATTATGCAACTTTCCCACCGAAAACCTGCGGCTCCCTCTTCTTTGAACTTGTGTTTGTTTCCAGAAGAGGATGCTGAGAAAGAAATTAAGGCCATTGCAAGGAAACTGATGCCTGGTTCCTTTAACACCATCCCTTGGAATCCATGTAGAACGGGAAGCAGAGCTGTCTAGTCACCAAGCCCCATCAAAAGCAGTTATAAGATTATACTGGTTGTGGACGATAGAATATTCTGGTAGCTGGGAGTTTGGTGGTTTGACAAAAGAAATAGTAGGCTCTTGACATTAAGGGATATATATTCTCAGTCTTAGATCCTCAAGTTTGCTACTATTCCTACAGAAAGTACTTTTCCCTGAAACCGTTTTGTGGCTAAGAAGCATCACTTTAGCCGGGACCGGTTTGGCTCAATGGATAGAGCGTCGGCTTGGGGACTGAAGGGTCCCGGGTTCGATTCCGGTCAAGGGCATGTACCTTGGTTGCAGGCAGATCACCAGTCGGGGGTGTGCAAGAGGCAGCTGATCGATGACTCTCTCTCATCGATGTTTCTAACTATCTCTCTCCCTTCCTCTATGTACAAAATCAATAAAATATATTTTTTTTAAAAAAGAAGCATCACTTTATTAGAACTTCCTTACTCTTTACTACTGTCACCATCACCAGCAGTTAGCTTGTATTTTATTGTTTTTTTACAGAGAGGAAGGGAGATGGATAGAGAGTTAAAACCATCGACCAGCTGCCTCCTGCACACCCCCTACTGGGGATGTGCCCTAAACCAAGGTACATGCCCTTGACTGAAATCAAACCTGGGACCCTTCAGTCTGCAGGCCGATGCTCTATCCACTGAGCCAAACCAGTCAGGGCAGCTTCCTTTTAAAGTCTATTTTCTGTGGTTTTCAGCTCACAAGAGTTCAGTGTTCTGGATAATATAGAGAAGAGAAACACCTTGACAGGCAGATGTGGGTAGTGGACAAGTTGCAGTGATAAGTGAACTGCGCTACCTGAATCCTCCGCAGCCAGGAGCAGCTGGCTGGCTGCCCTCTTCCTCTGGAGCTCTCCAGTCCGTACACCATGTGTCTGGACCACCGGAGCCAATGGAGCTAGGGGTCGCATTCCTCATCACTGAGCCCTGAAGACCATGTGGTCTGAGGAACTAAGCCAGAAAGCTCTGGGGAGAGTGGCCCCTAGTTTGTCCCCAGGTGTAGTGAAGGTGTTAGTTCTTCCTGACTGTTTTAGTAACAGGAAATCAGTTGCATGTCATCAAGACCAGGTGGGCCGGCTCCCTCTTGATCAGCCATTGACACCAAGAGAAGCACAGTGCCCACCCATTAGCCGGATACCCAGCGAGCCCTGCAGGGTGTCACAACCAGTCAGGCACCTTGTCACTTTGAATACATGCAACTAGTTATGTTTCTAGAGCTCCAGGGTGGCCCGTCACTTTTTCAGAAACTACATATTATCGGTAGAGACTTTCTCCATTTGAGGGTTTGTGTTCTGGCTGCCAGAGAGTCATGAGCAGCCGCGTACACGAGTTCTCTGCTCTCACTAACCTGCCACGTGTCTGTCTCCCCTCTCCCAGTGGGCCAGGACTGCTACACGAGGATCTGGAGCCTCCGCGATGCCCACCTGCTCAGAACCATACCCTCCCCACATCCCACCTCCAGGACCAACATTCCCAGCGTGGCCTTCTCCTCTCGGTTCGGGGGCGTGCGGGGCGCCCCGGGGCTGCTCCTGGCCGTCCAGCAGGACCTCTACTACTTCCCCTACAGCTAGTGCTGCAGAGCAGCGTGCAGGGATGTGGATTCGACTGAACGGAGTGAGACTAGCCATGCCTCTGCCATAACTGCCGTTTCCAGTGAAGGCATTTTAAACGGATGCTCTGTGCACACAGATCCCATCCATCCAGCTGCTGGGGACGAGAAGGTGCTATGTTTTATGTGGAGACACTTTAGTAATGTTATGTCAGTTAAGCTGTGAGCTCAGAGAGCTTGAAAGTCCTTTTCATAAAAGGTACCCATTTCCTTTTGTTGAATTCCTTAAAATAGTCCCTTCCCCCTTTTATAAAACAAACATTGCTTTTTCTAAGGGCTGAAGATTATCAATACCAAAAGCCCTTTCCAGAAGCCTAATGAGACAGTTAGGGTAGTCAGAGCCTGGATCCCAAAAAGACATGCGTCTGTACTTAGCAACGCCAGCTGGAGAGAAGGGGGCGAGGGAAGCCCTTTTTCTCGAGTTTCTACAGAAAGATTTGAGGCCAGAGTGTGCCCTTCTCACACTCAGTATGAGGAACAAATGTTAGAGACTCTCCTTTTCTTAATCATTCACAGGCCTTGGACAGAAAGATGGATCGTTTTAGATGCCGGAGGTTTTAAGCAGCCTTCGCAGGCCTTTTGTGGAGGCGTCCTCCTGTATGAGACACAGCAGCTCCCATTTCTCTCATGGCGACGTGAATGTCAGATTCAAGGGCCCCATTTCAAAGAAAATAGGCTCTGGCTTTTTTACAGTCTAAGCAGCAGCAGTTTGTGAGATGTTTATACCAAATGTTAAAGAGCATGTCTTTCTTCCAAATAAACCAGAAAGAACCTTGGCATGGTGCGTTGATATTGATTTAGATCATGATGCTTGGCTACTGTAGGAACCAACCAGCTGCATGAACATCTACTTAAATCTCGGGTGAAGAAAAAGGGGTAGAGACTGGGATCAGCCCTAATGGCTTTGCTGGGGAGCTTTTCTTTGCCCACAGATCCACCCGTGTGCCTTTTCACCTGCTGTGTGTGTTCCCAAGCTGACCTCTTAGCTCCCTAGCCACCGTGGGTTTAACCAGGAGGACCTAGCAGTAGGAAAGCAAAGGGCAGGAGAGAAAGATGGATTGTTGTCCCTGGCTCCCCTCCTGCTCGGCTGTGGCTGTGTTCAGCTCTCTGAGATCCAGGAACTTCTCTCCTTTTGTCCCTTCAGACCTACAGCTGGTATTGCACCTCCCTGTTGCTAGCCCAGGATGCTTCACTAATTGAACTCTCTTCAGTTGCCCCTGCGAGTGTTACATCTGCTTCCTGCCAGAACTCAAACTAATTCAACCTAGTGTACAGAGAACCATATCAAAACAGATGAGAATGATTGGTCATCTGGTAAATGAGCTACATGTTATAATAGTTTTAGCGCCTCATATTTTATAAAGAACTTTACCATCTTTACTGTTTTGATTCTAATAACCCATAAAGAGGTAGAACAGTATTAGTAATATAAAAATTACTAGTATCATTAATCTATAATAATAAAAGCATAATATGCTAATTAGGCCGGATGTCCTTTCAAGCAAAGCTGGGGCTGCGAGGGAAGCCCAGGTCCCAGGTGCCAGAGGGAAGCTGGTGCTGGCAGCTGGGGGAAGGCAGGCCTACACTTGCACAAATTTCGTGAATCAGGCCTCTAGTCTATCTATCTGTCTAAATATATATATATATATATATATATATATATATATGCCTAAGTGACCATTACAACCCGTTACTATGATGTACACTGACCACCAGGGGGCAGATACTCAACACAGGAGCTGCCCCCTGGTGGTCAGTGCACTCCCACAGCCAACCTCCCCCAGGCCAGCCAGCCTTGATGGAGACTGGGTGAGATGGCCCCGATTGCCAGCCAAGCCAAGGAACCCCACTCATGCACAAATTTGTGCACCAGGCATCTAGTAGATATAGAGAAACCCACACACAAATGTTGAGTGACTTGCCTCGGATCACAGAGCTTGTTAGTGGAGAGCTGGACTTGAAACTGGAAGACCTGAGATCATGTTCTCTATTTTTCATGCTCCTCCCATCACTGACAATATTTGCCATTATAACTGGTGGTATCGAGAAATCAGGAAGTGACTCAGTGCAAGTATAAACATGGGATGCTAACATTTCATGATACTTAATCACCAGGTAAATGAAATTTTCTGGCACCAGTGGGTAAGAAGCTTGCGAATTCTGTGTTTAATCATTTCAATTTGTCCCTATATCGGCAACCCTGGCATACTGGCCTGTACATGGGTCCCAAGAAATATCTATATGATTGAAGGGTCCAGGTGGCCACTTACTGCAGTCTCTTGGATTAATATTGGTGACATGCCCCTGCCCAAGAGCACAAACAAGCATTATAAATGCTGAGCCATGACCTTAACATTCACACATACTCTTGTCCTCACAAAGTCTAAGTTACCACAAGACACGAGTTCGTTCATTAAAGGATCTGCAATTTAGAATCACTGGTTACTGCACGTCCACTGCAGAGCTTCCCACACTGCCCATGGAGTTCTGTACGCGTCAGTGGAGCCACCAAAAGCCCATGGTTGGCACTCAGTTCAACTTGACTCCCTAGATGGTGGCGACATTCTGACTAAAGAGAAAACCAGGTGAATTTTGACAAGCGTGGCCTATCACCGTATAACTTAACTTCTCTTATCAACATAGCCCAAGTTCTTAAGTAAACACATTTGTTGAAGAACCATTTTAGATTTTCATTAGGCTTTATTTTCTTTAAGTGGGGAGCTTTCAAAACTTCTAATTTAAATTTGGCGATTTATTCTTGATCTTTTTTTTTTTTTTTTTTTTTTTTTTTTTTTAAATATATATTTTATTGATTTTGTACAGAGAGGAAGGGAGAGAGAGATAGAGACTAGAAATGTCAATGGGAGAGAAATATCAACCAGCTGCCTCTTGCACACCCCCTACCAGGGATGTGCCCGCAACCAATGTACATGCCCTTGACCGGAATCAAACCTGGGACCTTTCAGTCCGCAGACCGACGCTCTACCACTGAGCCAAACCGGTTTCGGCTATTCTTGATCTTAATTAGCAGTCATAGCTCCTAACATTCAGTCTATGTTTTATGAAAAGAGTTAAACTTAGCTGAGAAGTTGATTGAGCATGTTGATCTGTTTGCTTAACACAGTATCCCAAAGATTAGTTATGTTGCACAGTCTCGAAGCATTTTTCACTTGCACGTTAATTAGGGCATTTTGCCCTGTTGGCCACGTAGAGAATGAGCAGGCAGGCAGTGGTGGCAGCAGCCCTGAGCTACGAAGCCCTTTGTCAAGTGGTCTGGTGTTTGCTTGCTTGTAGCCTTCTAAAAAGAAATGAGAACAATGGCACATACTGGCTATCAAAAGTGCCCACAGATAAGCACCTGCCTTACACACCTTCTTGCTGGTAGCCATCCTGGATTCAGCTGGCCCCACAGGCTCTGCAGGGTACTCAGAATCAGTGTCCCGGGAGGCATCCTTTAAGACCAAGTTAGTCCTCCTTACCTGTCAGCCCTACATCTGTCTGGTCTAAATCTTTCACAGGACCATCTCTGAAAATAATTGCAGGTTAAACTCAGTTTCTTCTTCCAATTCCCCATTAGTTATAAAAAGCATCTAGGCCCACTCCTTTTAAGTCTGCCTCTCCAGGCCTCCCAATGCCTGGCTAAGACTCCTCCCTTCAATGGCTTCTTGTGCCTCAGAATAAAATGTGTTTTCTTTTGAGATTTGATCACATATGCCTCATCCTGTTGCCCCATCTCCACCTCCCACCTGGTGCTCTCAGGATACAGATGCTTCAAGTCCCTCCCTCGCCTGCTCTCTCCTCAAACTATCCTCCACTCCTTTTCCTCTGAAAAGTCCAACTGTTAGGCTTCGCTGATGTGGCTCAGTGGTTGAACATTGACCTATGAACCAGGAGATCACAGTTTGAGAACCAGTCAGGCACATGCCCTGGCTGCAGGCTCAATCCCCATCTGATGTTTCTATCACCCTCTCCCTCTCTGAAATCCATAAAAATATTTTTTTAAATAAATCCATAAATAAGTGGAACAATAAATCAATGTTGCCCATCCTCTCTAAAATCAATAAGATTTTTTAAAAACAACTTTATGTGGAGCATCTCAATCCGTTCAGTTTTGCTTCCCGGCAACTGTTGATAATGTGACTCAAACTCACCAAAAATTCTAAAAAAAACAACTTTATGTAGCACCTCCCTAGGGGGGGTGGGGCGGAACTAATCTGCGCTTCCGTGTTGGGATATTGGATACTCCTGGTGTGAGGAGGGACCAGGAGTTCCTGGGGTATAGTTATGTTGTTTCTTCATCCGGGTGCTGATTGAATATACTAGTATGTTCAGTTTCAGAAAAATAATCAAGCTGAAATGTGTATGTACAATATAACTCAATGGGGGAGGGGGGTTAAGCCTTTGTTTTAATTCTGTATTTAGCTGGCTTTCACCTGATATTTAGTTGAGGGTAGGCCTGGATATGTGGAGCAAGGAGAAAGAACCTTTTGTTAATATGACACTTGGTTCCCTTCCTTTCCTCTGATGGTCTAAGGAAGGAAGTTCAGAATATTGTTCTGCGTCATTCCTGTGGCTAGACTCCCGTGCTCAGGGGTGCCCCCACATGGCCATAAGACAAATAGCAGGTCAACAGGGCCACCTTATACATCTCTCTTCCCCCACCCCACCCCCACAAAACCTCCCCCTCTGTCCCACCTACCCAAGTAAAGAAAAAAGAACAAAAGGAACCCAGAGCAGAAATAAGAAAGACCAGGGGAGAGAAGATGGGGCAAAGAGGAAGGGAAGGGACAAAGACCAAAGTGTCAATAGCCACCAGAATGAAGCAACAGTGGGGACAGGAGTTGGACAGACAAGACAGGGCAGGGGAATGACAAAAATTTCCCCGTGTTTCCATAAGTCACTAGTAACACTCGCCTCCTCTGTGAGGGCGGATTCCCCAGGGAATGTGAACCCACAGCCACCAGAGTGAAACCATCAGAACACAAGTTAAGCTGCTACCACGGCACCACACAGCACCCACCACACTGCCCTGCCTGGGACCAGGCCAGGATAGCTCTGAGCTCCCAACCTGGGCTCGCCCTCCTTGGAAAGTTCTGCTGAACAACCCAAGCACAAGAGAACAGCACGGTCAGTGAGCAAGTGTGGAGCCCTAGAAAGAGTTCCTTCCACTAGAAATTCTTGGACCATCAGTTTGAACACACTTAAGGAATATCCACCAAGTTAGCCAACTGGGCTGGGGCATGCTATCTATGCAAAGCTGGGGAAAACAGCCCATTGTCACAAGATTAAAACCCACATAATGGTTTTGTGGCTTTTGGCTATGCTTTTTAAGTTCTTGTTAGAGTAATAACCTGAGGCATTTATAATAAAATATGACCACCCTAGAAATACACCTCTCCGCTTGGCTTCTGCTTGGAAAGCCACCAGCTACTTTCCGATCAGCCAGAAAGAGGGTGGCGGGAAAGGAAGGAGCCGCAGCCCGCGTTCAGCAGGAAGAGTCCTTTATAACAGCGAAGTTGATACACAGTACTAGGGGAGGGCCTGTCTCGGCCACGGGAGCAAGGGGGCAGGTCTGCGAACCAACGCGTTCCAGGGCTCACGTCACACCAACACACCAGGGTGACAGCCACGTACCCCCTGAAGCTCCGCCCACCCACCAGTTCCGCCAACAACTACGTTACTTTCTCTATCTTCGTTTTTGGCCACTGAAGATAAAATCCACCACGATGACAGGATTCAGCACAACAGTCTTTCCAGTCATGCCAGAGATGGACGTCCCAGCTCTTAATGAGAAACAAAAGTTCGTTTGACTTCTCTTGCAAGGACCAGAGAGAATTTGTTTCTTCATGATCTGTTGAAATATGTATATATACTCCAAAACAAAACAAAACAACAAAAAAACACAGAAAATAACTGACAGTCCATTCTGTGCTCTGTTTCCCTGGAAGATTGCTCATGATCACCCCTCCGATAGCTAGAGGGGTCATGTGTCTGGGAACAAAGAATTAAGACACTTCAAAATAAGCAATAAAAACCCTAGTGCAACACTCAGAAGCGGATGGTGGCTTGAAAGGGTTAGAGGGGGTGGGGCGTGGGCGCTCTATTTCGGAGCAGGGTATGTATGGCCTTGGGAAGCAGAGTGGATGCACAGACAGAAGCAGCAACAAGCAGGAAACACTGTTGGGGAGACCCACTTCCTTCCAAGCTCTCCCCAGGTACAAGGGTGTCACGTCACCTGCACTCTGACTTCTCAGGGCTGAGGCCTCTACTCCTCACCCCCCACCCACGCTAAGCTGAGTGGTCTCTGAAACAGGCCCAGGCCACGGCCCGGGTTGCAGCCCTGGAGGGCCCAGGTAGACAGATCCCTTCTGGGCTATTCCCAGCAAGCACCTGGGAAGCTCACTTCCCCAGGCAACCAAGAGGCAAAAAGGGAAGAAGCAGGGGGGGGACAGGCTTCGAAGGCTTGGGAAGAAGAACGGTGGCCAGCAGCACAGTGGCTTTGTACCTGGCTCGGCTTTGTGGGAAGACCTGCTGCCACTGCCACCTTCGCCCCGGCTGGGGACAGACTGTGGCCAGTCTGCGGCCAGCAGCCTGGAGAGACTCCGTATCCCTTTCGTATGTCTATACGGGGATATGTTTACTGTTTGTAACTGATATAAATGCAACGGCTTCTACAGGCTGCTCGGCCCTCTGCCCTGAGGGGTTTCTGCCTTCGGGCCTGCCGCCAGGCTCACCCCCGCTTGCCATCTGCCCTACCCCACACCGTGGGAAAGCGGCCCCAGGATGAGCAGAGAGGATACACACCACAACAGGTGACCAGGAGGAGGGCCTACCTCGATGAGATTTCTGTTTCTAACCCTGAGAACCTAAGGAATTGTGAAGGATGGGGAGAGGGAGCTGGGGTTAAAGGTCGCCGGGCTTTTTATTGCAGTTAAAGCAGACTCGGACAGGATGGTCCCAGCCTCGAGATGGGACAGCCCGGCGGTCATGGGAGCACTCGTCACAGAAGCCCTGGCCGCAGGCCCGGCAGTGGTGCTTGGAGAGCTTGATGCTGAACTCCTTCCGGCAGCTGTGGCAGTGCAGGATCTCGTGGTCGGGCACCCAGTACGCCGGCCGGGCCGCATCCTTTACCAGACCTGCAGCAAGGAGGGAACCATGTTGGGCGGGACACGCGGAACCCAACACCCCGGGTCCCACGGTGCACCAAGGCGTCCTCAGACCCTCCAGTGGCTCCCAATGCAACTGCACACAGCATCACCTCGGGACCTTTTAAACAGGCAGTGCCTGGTCTTCAGCCTTTCCACCCGGCCACCATCTTCAGGGCTGGGGCCCAGGAACTGGAATGTGTGTCAATGAGCCCTCCCGGTGTTCCTAAGGTGCAGCTGCATTAAGAGTCGCTGGACCAACAACAAGAAGTCGGGGTCAGGACATATCTTCATTCAAATGCCAGTTCCACTGAGCACCAGCTACTTAGCAGCTGCAAGATTACAAGAGGCTACTTCTCGGGGCCTCAGCTTCCTCGTCTTTAACAACCCACCTTCGAGAGCTGTTACGGGGATTTCAAGAAGTAACATGTCTCACGCACGGGCCAGCGCATGGTGAGTGCAGTTGGCAGGCTCTGTGCGCCAAGGGCAGCCCGCCTCTCCCAGTTACCGTGACAGCAGATGCAACCTGAACTTCAAGCCTGGGCAAATCCATCTATTCCTACACCTTGGAGTCAAAGCTCACTGTCTGCTCGTTCTGTGAGCCACGGGGATTACATCTGTTACAGGTAATTTTCATTACCATCCAGCAGACCTTGGACTCTCCCCTACAAAGGGCTGTAGTAACCCAGCCCAGCCAACCCTGCCTAAGCCCCCCACACACTTCCTTCCTCTCCCTCTTCCCATCATGGTTACAGTGCCTGGTCTTCACCCCATTCCACCAGGCCAAAGGGAAGAGCCATCTTAAATCCTAAATGAGGAATAGCTTGGCTTGTGTGGCAGATTCTCTGACACGCGTGCCCCCTAGGCAGGCTCTGTGCCATCAGAAGACTGTATGAGTTTCCAACCCCAGGCCTTAAAAGAGACTGGCAGCTTCTACTTGTCTCTTGGAATATTAGCTCTTAGAGCCTGAGCCACCATGTCCAGAAGTCCAGCTACCAATGAAGAACCCACACGGAGAGGCCTGGAGACTTCATGGAGAGTCAGGCTGGCCTGGACCCTCGGAGCAGTCCATCTGCCACTCTGGAGTACCAGGCGATGCCACTCGAAACAGAAGAATCACCCTTCCTGACTTAAAGGTGTGAGACATGGTGAAAGGGGGGTTGTTTGAAGCCTTTACGTGTTCAGGTAGTTTGTTATGCAGCAATCAGTGGTTTAAGAGAATGGCCTCTGGAGGGAAACACGAAACCACTGAGGTCTTCCACAGAAGCAAGCAAATGTTCATCAATTTTCAGTCAACTTCCTGCTGCCCAGCCCAGCCTGGGTCTGCCAGCCTTTGACAAAACGACCGCCCAGGGCCCTCTGAAACCTTTCCTCCCACACACACGACACCCAGAGCAGCACTGCCAGGCCCACCTAGTGGTATGTCAATGGCTGTCACCACGGCTCCCAGGGTGTTCTGCACAGCCTCGCCCACCTTCCGAGCAATTAGTGTCCCGCCTTCGTCATCCGCCGGAGCCTCGGTGACATCTGCAGACAATGACAAAGGAAAAGCCATCAGCTCTTAGTCACTTCCCAAAGGAAAACTCGGAGGGCAGCAGCAGAGCGCTTCTGGGCTCTTCTCCGGGTGCCACTGTGCTGCCCTGCAGCGACCCCCGACCCTGAAACCCATGCATCCGTTAGCCCTTTACCTCAGCCCTCCAGAGCTACCTTAAAACCTCTCTTAAAGTAAAGCAGAAGCTTCCAGGAGCACGACCTAGAACCTTCTCCAAGGAGAAGACTCGGTCTAAGCCATTTCTGGTGAACACAGGATAGGATTAACAACTCCCACCACCACCAAGAAATCGCTCCCAGCACTCGGACTGACCAAAGCCAAGGGAGCAACTGCTGCCGGCAGATGCGGTGAGGAACAGGCTGGGCAGCTCCCAGTGCCACGGAGAGAGGTCCCGCCCTCCACCCTGCAGCTCCCAGCTCCCCCATTACCTAACTGGACGCTCCTGGCTTCGTAGCAGTTGTCACACACCCGCACGGGCACGGGGCCCCAGCCCCGCTCGGGCACCGGCCGGGTCTTGGAGGAGCAGCCGTCACAGAAGCCCTCCCCACAGGCCCGGCAGTGATGCTTGGTGTCATTCTCCTTGAAGGACGTCGCACACTTGCTGCAGCTCTGTTCCAAGCCCAGAACAGACAGAGGCAGGTGTCACTCACGTCTGCTCGGCGGAGAAAGCCACCGACACCCGGGGGGAGGGCCCAGGACCACCCTGAAATGGCAGGACCCCGCCAGTCCTAAGGGAGGGGCCCCAAAGCCTCCAGCCACTGAGGCGGCCATGATTATCATTTTCCTCCAAGTGCCTGGAAAGGTTCTCCAATCATGCGGCTGAGTCACAGTGTTCTCGGAAGGCTAATTTAGCCAGAAGAGAAATGAGACTTTTTTTTAACGGCTTCTGGGAAGTTGGTGAGGAGCGAGTTCCCTGTCGGGGATTTGGGCCACAGCTGTGTGCTCCTTTGCTGTGGACGCCTTCAGGATTTATGGATCAAGCCGAGGATGGCGCTAACAGATCTGTCTCTAAAGGCTCCTGGCGTTCAGATTCTGTATTTATGGTCTGAGGCATCTGATCAATAATGATTTGCCCTTGTAGGGAAGGAAATTAAAAACGACCACAAAGAAAACACTTGCAGAATAACATGAAGGGAAATCCATGGGCGGAGAGGACACTGCCTGCCTCAGTGTGTCCCCCTTTCCAATGCTCCGGGCGCTAACCTGACGGGGAGAGAAATCCCACGCCTCCCCCACAGAGCAAGCTTGGGACAGGGTGAAGCGACACAAGCAAAGCGGGCGGTGCCAGGAGCAGCACGCCGCACCATACCAGGATCTGGGAGTTGGGCCTCCAGTAGGCTGGCGCTATCTGGTCTGTCAGCCAGGACGTGACAGCCTTGGTGGGCCCAAGGCTAAGCTCAGACACCGACTGAGCCATGAAGTTCATCCCGTCCAAGAGGCGCTGGGCAGCATTGTTGTTGTCCTTCAGAAATCCATCAGTCTGAAAGGAAAATGCAGACTCCCGTCACGCTCTGAGGGAAGGGACTCAAAGGAAAAGGGCGAGGGTCCTGGGTGAGCTGCACACTCATCACCTCCAGCTCGGAACCACAAACTCCCTGGCAGAGAAAAGCGGGGACAGACCGGGAATCCCTCTGGCTTCTCGGCAATATCACACCAACCAGTCATAACCGAATGATTCCCTTCAAGGCGGCCAGAAGACGTGGTGCACAGCCGCTCAATCCGGACTCAGTTTGCCCACAAACAAGATACACACTCCAGGAGACGACGCCTCCGCAGGAAACCTCATCCCAGGCGGGGTCAGGAGCCCTTCCTGGCAGGTCCCCTAGTATCTGTACATTCCCCAGGAATCCTGTTTCCACGTGTAAGAACAACCTCTGTTTATGCAGTTACTGTAAACTCTCTGAGAATAACCTATCTTTTTCACTTCTGTATTCTTGTAAATATCTAGCTCAATTCTGAGCACACGGTGCTCAATAACATAAGCTGAGGCAACGAATGGGTGAATGAATGAACAGAAGGAGAGGAGCCCGCATTCCCTAATTCCAAGGACGGTGAGGAGTGCAGCCTGAAGGTACACCGCAGTGTTACTGTTTTCTTGGACTATAAACGATCTCGCCATAGAGACGATAATAGCTTTTGCAAGAAATAACTAAGGCAGATCACAAACAAAAGACAGTCATAAAACACCTTGTGAGAAAATTATACTAGTGGGAGGCCATGTTAAATCCTTGGACCAGAATAGCCTGGACCATCCTGTCAGGGAGACTGGAAAGGAGAGGAACAATAGGAAATTGTCCGTTATGTGGTACCTGAAGGAACCAGGTAAGCTCAGAGGTGGGTCTGCAGGTAGGCCTCAGAGGCTAACTGGTGGCTTTAGAAATCACCCAATAAGGGGACCATCACCAGGTAAGTCCCTTCGAGAAAACTGCTTTTCCATGAAGGAAAAAGTTTTGGATGTATTGTGATTTATGAGTATTTCCAAGTATGATTTGTGGCTTAATGTAGAATCAAAGCAACATATCAGTGCCTCATAAACAGATTTATTTTTCTAACATCTGGAACTCAAAAGTCAAATTAAAAATAATGAGGGTCGCCTGGCCTGCATGGCTTGGTCCCGAGTGTGGGGCATGCAGGAGGCAGCCGATCTATGATTCTCTCTCTTCATAGATGTTTCTATCTCTCTCTCCCCCTCTCTCTGAAATCAATAAAATATATTTTTAAATAAAACAAATAAATAGTAAGAGTCTATAGTAATACCATTTCTTAGAATATACGTCAAGAAAATTCCCCCAAAAATACTAAATGGCTTTCTTACATAAAGATGGTCACTATAGCATTTTCTTTGATGATTAAAAAAACAACAACAACTCATAAACAGTACGCATGAAGGGAATGGGGACTCAAACTATAACACTAGACTACAAATGAGAATCATGAAAAATGGAAGCCATGTGGAAATGATATTGTGGTAAAAAAAAAAAAAAAAAAAGGTAAATGGCATGTAAATTATATCTATATAAACATATGCATATGGAAAATGACTGAAGAAAACATGAAAAAATGATGTTTCGCCCATCCGGTGTGCCTCAGTGATTGAGTATCGACCCATTCACGAAGAAGCTGCAGGTCCGATTCCTGGTCAGTAGTGGGGGGTGTGCAGGAGGCAGCAGATCAATTATTCTCATAGCTGTTTCTCTCTCTCTCTCTCTCTCCCTAAAAATAAAAAATAAAAACATATTTTACAATAAATAAAAATGAAATTTTATTTGCAAAGACAATATAACAATAAGTCGATTTTTCACTTATTTTTGTTTCAACTTATGCTTCTAGTATGTATGCAAAAAAAAAAAAAAAAAAGGGAAAATAATTAACGGTCTAGAACAAGAAAAGCTCTTTAGATCATGCCTTCCTAAACCACCAAAAACACTGAAAGTCATGGGTAACCTTATTTCTAAACAAGTTCCACGTTCCCACACACATGTATAGCTGAGCGACACAAGAGAAAGAATAATAAGTAGAACCGCTCTTACTCCAGGCCACGCATGCACAATCTCTGTCCGCACCACCGTCTCCACGGGGTCTTGGTTCCCAAACCAGTACTGCCGGCTACGGTAGACCACGCCGCAGTTAGGGCATTCGATCACATACCTACAAGGAATGCAAATAGACACCATTACCCTGCCAGGTCTCTAGGGAGACAGACACACCAGACAGCCCTTAGCTATGTTGTTTCAACTCACCCAGACCAGGCATATTTTGCAAGACCCATCCAGGGGGAGTCGGTGGAAGCAGATGTCTTGGGCACTACGCTGACCTCCTTGCCTCTCTCATAGCAGGCCTGAAACATGGGAGCACTCTGCCAGCTTCTTCTCTGGACACCGGTCCCCGCGGCCTCTTCACATCCCTGTCCAGCACCCACTCCCCACAAACCATACCGTCTGAGGGTCTACAGACCCCGAGTTTAGCACATCAGAAGGAAGTTCATTTCTCTAAGAAGCCAGTGCCCTGAATGGTCATGAACTGAATGGGTACCCACCCCAGGCCCCAAAACTAAGCTGTACATTATACACCCGTCAGACAGAAGCAATCAAAACTCGGTTCCTGAAGAGCAAGAATAACAAATAGCCAGTGAATGTGACCCCTGCCGACAAGCTCAAGAGACTACGGGGAAAATAAGCTTTAAAGAAGTTCCACGAGGCCCCAGCAACAAACGTGTATGAGTGATTTTGGTTAGAGCTGGTGAGAAGTTCCAGAGAGATTCCATTTGAACATCAAATACTTGAGGGTGCAGCAAAGCTGCCCCAAGCCGATCTTTCCAACAGGAGAGGGACCAGCAGCCAGCTGCTGGGGCAGGGAGAAGCTCGGGACTCACCTTGCAGGTGTAAACTCGGTTGTCATACTGGTGGGAGTAGCTGCAGCGGCTCTTGGCTTCATGCGGTACTCCTTCTTTCCCATGATTCATGCTGTTCTTACATCCAGCCCTGAGTGAAGCCCAAAAGCTGACAATGAGGTGGCCAATGGAACCGATGCTACTTATGCAGAAGAATCTGACCCTGAGCCAGAGATGGGTTATTAACTAGGCCCCGGATCCTGAGCACAGAGGACAGTTTGTCTCAGGACCCAAAGCCTCCCTTATCCTCGCCATCAGCATCACTACGAAGGTAGAGCAATTAGTACCTTGTTATGAGGAGAAAAAGAGAAATGAGGAAACTCTTCTTAGAAACGGCACCTGGCCCCTCAGGAGGAATGGAGGCGCCAGGAGATACCACCTTGACAAGACATGGATCTGGAATGGCTCTCAGGAAATTAAAAAACCCAAACAGCATGAAATAAGTTTAACCAGGACAGGCTGCCGAGACGCCAAACAAAAACCATCCCCCAACATTTGGCAAAGCACTAAGAGGAGGCTTAAGCCGGACAAGAAAACCTTCCAAATGAACAGCGCGCCCGGCCACCCTGACAACACAGGTCAGGACTTGGGAATGTCCCTACGGAGAAGCGAAGTCCTGGAAACCCTGGGAAGCTCAGTTAGAATGGAGAAGTACCGATCCAGCTGTGCTGGGCTCACGGGGCAAGCAAAAAGGAAGATAAATCACACTGGCAACGAACATCCCTCTGTCCAAGATAATCCTAGTTCTCCCTACTCCAGACCATCTAATCCAACACCCAAATCCTTTTTACAAATTCAGAGCCAAGTGGTTCAGTACCCGGCGGTGGCCTACTGGGTGCAATGCAAAAGGGCTATTATAATAGAAAAGGCTCAGAACAGAAAGGTCTCCTCCTGTAAATGGGCAAATGTGAGCGAGGACAATACAGTGGGGAGGCGTGGGAAGGCAGGGACGTGGGGACTTCGATCTGACTGACACGCTGCATTTAACCCCCTTGGGCTTCTTCCGTCAAGTCACCCAACTGTGACTTAACAGCCACCAACAGCTCAAGATGTGGTCCCCAACCAGCAACATCAGCATCACCTGAAAACTTACCAGAAATGCAAGGTCTCAGGCCCTACATCAGACCCATTAAATCAAACTGTGGGGCCAAGGCCCACCCATCTGTTTTAACATGTCCTTCCGGGGTTTTTGATGCATGCTCAGCTGAGAATCAATGCTCTGTCCCCTGAAACAAAGTGTGGTCCACGGACCAGCATCAGAGGCATCACTCAGAGCTTGTTAGAAATGCAGATTTTCACCCAGAACTGCTGTCCACACTCTGCATTTTAACAAAATCACAAAGTGGTGTGTATACAGACCGATGTTTGAGAAGCACTGCTCTAATGTAATGCCCTCAACTCAGACTACACATTAGAAAAATCTCAGGAGCATTTTAAATATTCCAGTGCCTAGCCGTAACCGGTTTGGCTCAGTGGATAGAGCGTCGGCCTGTGGACTCAAGGATCCTAGGTTCAATTCTGGTCAGGGGCATGTTCCTTGGTTGCGGGCACATCCCCAGGAGGGAGTGTGCAGAAGGCAGCTGACTGATGTTTCTCTATCATCGATGTTTCTAACTCTCTATCCCTCTCTCTTCCTCTCTAAAAAATCAATAAAATACATTTTAAAAATATAGTTCGCAGCCCGACGCTCTAACCACTGAGCCAAACCGGTTTCGGCTAAAATATATATTTTAAAATAATAATAATAAATAAATATTCCAGTGCCCACGCCCCACCCCAGAGCCATTAAACCAGTCTCCTTGAAGGTGGGGCCCAGGCCTGGGTAATTCTGCAAGCTCCCTGGATAATTCTAATGTGCTCTAAGCATTTGCCCTCATAGTGAAAGGAATCAACTAGGACTGATATGGACTACAGTGCTGTGCACACACTGGGATTTCTATCAAATATTAGTTGAATAAATGGAATAACTATGATTGAAAGCCCTGATAGGAGAAACATGGACAACAGGCAACGTAAAGTTTCCTATAGTACAAACTGCCCAAACCAGAAGCCAGTCAACTTCACATCTAAACCAGGCTGAAATCTTCAGGAGATTCTTCATAACCATGTGTCCGGGAATCCCTGCAACCTCCAACTGTGGTCCCTGACCTCCAGGAGCACCTGGGAACTTGGAAATCACCATCTCAGGCCCCAGCCCGTCCGTCCATCAGGATGACCTGCGTGCACACTGATGTCTGAGAAGCACCATTCTGAGTCTCTTTTCCCAAGATGGGGAGTCTCTTTTCCCAACTGGCCCCACTTACCCGCAGCTGAGGCACAAGGAGGAGCAGGTGAAGTACTCGTCCGGGAAGAAGGAGCTGTGGGCCATCTGGTCGTCGGGGATCTCTCCACTGAAGCGGTCGCTCAGTGCCTGGCGAGGAGGGAAGGTGACATGAAGGCCCAGCAGAGAGCCCTGTGCTTTGACTCTTCCGACACTTACTTGCCTTTCTAAGATCTCCCCCCACCCCGGAGGCTTATTTCTTACAGGCTCCACAGCAGGAAGAGGGAACTTACCTTCAACCTCCTACGCCCAACTTGCCTAGAAAGAACAAGCCCGTTTCCCAAGAGGTCAGAAGTGAACAAAGTTACTGTTCTCTACTAATTACCTTGGAGGTTATAAACCCCTCACACACTCAGTCTTTCATTCAGAACCTCCCCAGATACTGACTAAGGCCCACTTCCTCCTTGTGAAGCTGGGACCGAGAAATCAAGACTTGAGAATGTGGCTCGCTCGTAACCAAGAGTTTCGTGGGCTTTTATCCAGTTCTAACCCCAGGCACGCACTTAAGAGTTTACTAGGCCACAGAACTATCTCAATGCAGAAAAATACGTCATGAGCCAAAAAAATAAGCATTATTGTAGTGTTTGGCAGCCTTTTATCAACTACAGTAACCCCAAAACAGCAAAGGGCCAAAAAAAAAATACCAAAAAGAAAGATAAGGTATTTGCAGAGGCAAACTGAAATTTTTATATTGAGAGGCGTTTCCATTTCTAATCCTGTTTTCACACATTACTTTATACTGAAAGTACTCTTCAAGCAGACTTCCCCCTTCCAGGCCCTTAGTCAGATTCAGTGGAAAAAGGAAATTAAATAGAAATGGGCTTTCCAGGCTTCAAAAATCATTAAGTGCACACCGTTCCAAGCTTCCGTCTTTCAGTCTCCCATTCTGAGGCAGACCATCATTATTCCCGGGAAGAGAAGGAAAGTAGCCTAAAACAGGACAAGATGTTACTTCCTTTGGTAAAAGCCAAACGAAATTGTAAAATGAAATTTGGAAAAAGGACAGATTAGGTTCTAAACTAAGCTTCTCAAGCTCTGAAAGCAATTTTGTTTCCTGAGAAGTTATTTGTTCAAGTTCCTTTTCCTTCTTTCAATGAAGCCTTACCGCAATAAACTGCAAACTCAGGTGTTTACGAAGACAAGTGATCCCAATGTTGAGTCAAGTCAGGTGTAAGACAAGAGTAGAGGCAGGAATGTGTCAAATTGAGAGGGCATGAGTCACTTCAGGCAGTGGTCGGCAAACTCATTAGTCAACAGAGCCAAATATCAACAGTACAACGATTGAAATTTCTTTTGAGAGCCAAATTTTTTAAACTTAAACTTCTTCTAACGCCACTTCTTCAAAATAGACTCACCCGTGGTATTTTGTGGAAGAGCCACCCCCGAGGAACCAAAGAGCCGCAGTTTGCCGACCATGGACCTAAAGGCATTCAAATTCAGCTTCTGCAAGGATAGTGCCTGTCCCATACACCATCAACTACCAGCAATGGTCAACCAAGTGGCAATCCTTGATCTAGACCCCTCCAAAATGATTGACAAATAATAACACATGTAGATCCTGCTGCCTTGGGGGTAGTTTTGTAAAGACTAACTTGGGGGCCGAAGCCGGTTTGGCTCAGTGGTAGAGCGTCGTTCTGCGGACTGAAAGGTCCCAGGTTCGATTCCAGTCAAGGGCATGTACATTGGTTGCGGCCACATCCCCAGTAGGGGATGTGCAAGAGGCAGCTGGTCGATGTTTCTCTCTCATTGACGTTTCTAGCTATCTCTCTCCCTTCCTCTCTGTAAAAAACCAATAAAATATATTTTTAAAAAAAGAAAAAAAATTTAACTTAGGGAAACACTAAGATTTTGAGAGAAAATATAAGTAAATATACATACGAATATTAATGAGAATAAATGAGAAGCAAGGTAAAGAATCACACAATAGCCCAAACTGCCCTCCTCTCTCCTAATTCTTAATGTGATCCTTTGGCAATTTTTAAAAATATATATTGTTTCATTGATTTCAGAGAGGAAAGGAGAGGGAGAGACAAACATCAATGATGAAACAGTGTCACTGATCAGCCACCTCCCGCATGCCTCCAACCGAGGATTCAGACCGCAACCCAGGTATAGGCCCCTACCAGGAATCAAACCATGAACTCCTGGTAAACTGGTCAACACCAAAGCACCAAGCCACCCCAATTGGTCCTTCGGGGATTTTTTTTTTTTTGTCTCACCTATTCCATGATACCTTCTCAACCACTTTAAACACACTACACGCTGCCTTCTCTGAAGGCCTTTTGTATTCAACAACTAAATCAGTATTGAGTAATTAAGCAATGATGCAAAGCTAAGGGTCTGTTGAATTTCTTTTTTTTTTTTTTTTTTTTTTTTAAGATATTTTATTGATTTTGTACAGAGAGGAAGGGAGAGAGATAGAGAGTCAGAAACATCGATGAGAGAGAGTCATCGATCAGCTGCCTCTTGCACACCCCCTACTGGGGATATGCCCGCAACCAGGGTACATGCCCTTGACCGGAATCGAACCCGGGACCCTTCAGTCCCCAAGCCGACGCTCTATCCATTGAGCCAAACCGGTCCCGGTGGGTCTGTTGAATTTCATCTCCTTGACTTGTGAAAGAAGTCTCCAACCTTTATATCCTCTAACTCCTAGTGAAGGTCCTAACCAAGAGGTCATGGTTTGATTCCTCCACTAGGACCTCAAGAATAAAGTGCCCAGCACCAAACCCCCCCGCACACACCAACCTCTCCTCTCCCCTCCTTACCATGGCTCTGCCTCTGCGCCAGGCTTCATCCCAGGCCCACAGGCCCTCTCTAAGTTTAGATTAACTATTCTCCGATTGGCCAAATTACTGATAACCTGTAGGCTGTATTTCTCACAGGTGTGTGCCTGACCCTCTGGGGCTGGCTGGTGGGAAATGGAGTGTTATCTTCCTAATGCATCAATTTATGAAAAGATCTGGGGAGCAAGCTATTATTACATAAAAACCAAGCATGGCCGAAACTGGTTTGGCTTAGTGGGTGGAGCGTCAGCCTGCAGACTGAAAGGTCCCAGGTTCAATTCCGGTCAAGGGCATGTACCTTGGTTGCAGGCACATCCCCGGTGGGGGATGTTTCTCTCTCATCGATGTTTCTGACTTTCTATCCCTCTCCCTTCCTCTCTGTAATAAATCAATAAAATATATTAAAAAAAAAAAAAAAAGCATGGACATAGTATGAAACTAAATGGAAAATTTGCAGAAATTAAACATGAGACACCCTTCCCCCAAGTCACTTAGGGCTGAAGTGGCAGCTCTGCACTCTCTGTGCCTGTTCCTTATCTATAAAATGGGATGCTAGAAGGACCTTCCTCAATAAGGGTGTCCATGGGTTACTCTGAGAGAATCAAATGAAGTTACCCATGCAGAGCCCTTGGCACAGACCAAAAGCTCAAAAAACATTAGGTGTGCCCGGCCAGTGTGGCTTGGCAATTGAGCCTCGTTGACCCATAAACCCAAGAGGCCATGGTTTGATGCCTGGTCTGGACACATGTCTGAGTTATGGGCTCAACCCCTCGTAGGGGGCATACGGGAGGCAGCCGATCAATGAATGATCCTCTCTCATCATTGGTATTTCTATCTCCCTCTCCCTTCCTCTCTAAAATCAATAAAAATATATTTCTAAAAAAGAAAACGTTAGGTGCCATTATTATAATTTTAATTGTTGGTTGTTGTTTTTTTATGCTGAGAATTTTATTCTCTTCCTTAGATACCCTCACTACCTAATCCAGGTAATGCAGGAAATATAAGAACCTCCTCTCCATGATAGCTCATTAGTCATCATGGCTGCTTGCATGTGTGGGTGAACACAGTTAAGTCCTCACTTAATGTCATCATAGGTTCTGTGAATTGAAGCGAAATGACACATCATGAAACCAATTTTTACCACAGGCTAACTGATACAAACAAGAGTTAAGTTCCTACAGCACCTCAATGCTATAACAAAACATTTAACAAAATAGTTGAGGAGCTGCTGTATTTAGCTGCAAAAGCTGCTTCTGTATCTAATGAGGTGATAGAAAAAGTAAAACAAAAGAGAGAAAAAGAAAATGAAGGAATATAGAAGCTACTAAAGAGCTATAGGGGAAAACCAAAGAGATGCATTATCAGCCCTTGAGGGTTTTTTTCTTCTAAGTGGGTAACTAAAAAGATAACCTAAGAACTAGTTTGCCTTAGGAAAAAAGAATATATTTAGCATGAGTTCAATAACTGGGTTGAATTCGGCGAAGGGGAAGAAGGGTGAAATGTCACTCCCCAGTAAATATAAAATTGCATCCCAATAACCATGACAGCACATTGTTACTCAAGGTTCTTTCTGTTCTAAAACCCAAGTTGCCTGGTTCACATCTCTGAAATTCCCTCAGAAAAATCGGGGCATGTCTACATATCTCAAAGTTTAGCACGAAACAATTTACAGCCCGATTCCCATGGTACATATGCCATAGAGCCTCCATCACTGCCTGCCCTCAATAAATCAAGGCAATAGTAACCTCTTATGACATCAGAAAGAGAACTCCCAGTCTAACCAGCCACGGCACCTCATATGCTGGTCACCTATCCTCTGAAATGCTGGGACACACAAAAAGCATGTTACTTCCCTCACAAGTCACTGAAATAATGAGTCAGACCATGACAAGCATCTGGAGGACTTAACAGGAGTCAAGAGTATGGGAATATTCGGTAACTACTTTTTAAAAATCTGATGTTAGTGTGTTTTGGATACAAGGGTAAGCAGAAGCTGTCCTCCTTTCTGATTGTTACTTTCCAGTAAAGACATTACTGCCTAATCCATATACTTTGTCTTTCAAAAATTCCAAACCTCACATCATTCCAGGGATCTTGGGCTCTCCTCCTTCTGAGGTCCCATAGCTGTGAGAGAAAGGCAGGGAAGGAAGCTCCTGAAAAAGCTTGGGAAAGCATTTGAGGTAAGTCTGGAAAAGGTTGCCTGGAGACCAGATGATCTTGAACTTTAGTTGTCCAGGAAACAGTGTGGCTCTTTCTATTGAACCTGAAAGGTTAGCCCCAGTCATCAAGGGCTGGCAGTGAATG